GCCCGTTTGTGTCCTGGGCTTGTGTCATTTTGTCAGATCTGCATTCGTGCAAAAACGAGTTTCAACTGTAGCTCGTAGCATGAGCTGAGCACGCAGAGGCGGGAAGAGAGTGAGAGGAAGGGACGGAAATTTGCACTTGTGCAAAAATACGCTTTGCGTTGAACTCGCAGCATGAACATGAGAAAAAAACAACTTGCACACTCAAGTATTCCTGCAAAGAGCGTCCGGAAGACAGGACTCATCTCACGTAACGAGCGTGAGAGATAGAGACAGAGAAGCAAAGGGACAGAAAAACGAAGGGACATGTTTACGCTAGTGCAAAAATGTGTTTACATTGGAACTCCTAGCATGGGCCCCGGACATACAGACACAAAACGCGTCAGAGAGAGAGAGAGAACAGACATTTATACTTCTGCGAAGCAAAAAGTGTGCTTGGGACTCGCGGTGTCAGCACGTCATGCAGAGATTCAAGAGAAGTATGGGAGACCGACTTGCACGCTTAAGCAACATAGGAAGATCTACAACGTTCGTGTTCGGCCAACAGATGCAGCAACGCCATGAACCATTACTACTTTGGAGGCAGATTTGATCACCTGGCCAGACACCGAAGAGGAGGCATGCCGCGTCTTGCAAAGAGGTCGTGAAAGATACTGAAGTGTCATGTTTCATCCGTAAGGTGGGAATGCCGACTTCGCGAAGCAGAAACGTACTTGACGCGGAGCCAGACGTCGAGGCACGTCTCACAGGCAGGCATACGTGCACCTCGCGCTCGTCCCTGTAGACGGAACCGAGAAGCAGCGACTCGGCGCCTGCCGGTACACCATCGCCACAGCCATTTCCCGCAGGAACCCGAGTGCTGACGCAATCCAAATACGTCTGCGCAACAAGCTGTGAGGTAACGTACAGGGTTACCTGGCTAAGCGGCTGGTGCATGCTCCATCCCGTGGGACAGGACGCCACGCGCCCGGTGCTTTAGATGCGAGTTTAACGCAGAGAGGCGTCATCCATCATGTACATTCCTCCTGGATGGCATCTCGTGCGCGCCGCGGCCTCGCAGTTCACGGAGCTCGTTCAAACACTAAAACCAAACGAGCCAGGACGACGTAGTCACGTACGTGACCGGCATCACTCACCTGCGGGGAATGGCCTCTTTCTGATGCAGATGTGCTACGGGCGGTAGGCATGACACGCATCCCTTGTGGAGCGGACTGAGTCCCCGCAAGTAGCGTGCACTTCTTGTACCCAGCAATCATCATGAACATACGTCGCAGTACCAATGCATAACAGGCTAACGCGACTAGACATCGACGGGGACCCTGCTGTGGCAAAACAAACGCCGTGCAACTTGCACGTTTCATTCTTCTGCTGCACTTGTTGATGCTAATCAGTTCGTCTCGCCGAAGCAGCAACTCGGGCCGAAGATCAGAGTAGCACCAAGCAGCAGCATCCGAGCTTCGTCTGCAATGTGGGGTTCTTCCTCTTGGCAGGGCGCCGGAAAAGGCAAAGGGAAGCAGTACACCACCGGATGGGAGTCGGCTTGGAGCGCGGCGGACAAGGGCCAAGACAAAGGATGGGGAAGCAAAGGCTACGCCGCTCCCGCCGACAAGGGTTGGAGCAAGGGCAAAGAAGGCGCCGGCTGGCAGGCGTCGCCGTGGACCGAAAGCAGTTGGGCAGGACAGATACACGATTCGGAGAAGGGCAAGGGCAAGACCAAAGACTACGTCACGCGGCTGTCCGGCCGCTACGCCTTCTCCAAGGCGATTCTACGCCCCTATGCTGACGAGAATGGCAATGCCGTCTACACCGCCGGACCGTCGACGGTCGCCAAGAACACCTTCGACAAAGAGCAACTCCGTCAAGGACTGGATTGGCGCAACTCCGAGTTGGTGCGACGTCCGGCCGTCGGCTTGACGACCATTTCGGGCTCCATGAGAATGCTCAAGATGTCCCTGGAGGCCATCCCCGATGACATCCGTGGAACACCCGCCGCAGACGCCATCAGACAACTCGGGAAGCTGTTGGAGGATGCGAAGGGGAGAGACTTCCTTACCGCGTGTGAAGTGCTTACCAAAGAGCGCACTGGCAACGTGCCAGCGGACAAGCTGGCAACCGCGGTAGACATGTGGCTCAAATGGTTTCGCGAAAACAAAGCCTTTCTCGCGACAAGCTTGCCGGAGATCGTCATCTTCGCGAGCTCCCTCTACCTGGGCAGCATGCAAGCGTTGGAGGCGGTGACCCTTGGAAACGCCCTAACGAATTGGTGCAGCAAGGTCCCGATGACCGGCCAACGAGAAAACACTGCAGGAATGGCAGCGAACTCCCAAAGACCTCACGAAGCTCAACGCGTTCATTCTCGCGGCAATGGAGCAGAGACGCACCGAAAGTGCGGCATGGCATCGACAGAGCGGATTGGGAGGAGACAGCGACGAAGAAGGCAACATGGCAGCGAGGGGGGGCCCTGGAGTCAACAAATCCGAGGCTGCGAAGAAGCACAAGAAGCGCGAAAAGACCGATTCCTCGTCGTCTTCCAGCGAGTCCTCCCGCAAGAAACGCAAGCGCGAGAAGAAGGCCAAGAAAGAAAAGAAGTCCAAAAAGGCGCGAAAGGAGGAAAAGAAGGCCAAGGATGACGAGAAGGACCCCGGCATCATGGGCAATCTCAACGATGACCGTTTGTACTATGTTTAAAACTGAATTGCTATACCACCATATGACGTCATTATTTAACATCGGAACAATTAGATGGTCTGTTGAAGCACGCAAGCATGCCAGGCGCCTGAGGGCGAGGATACCGCCCCTGTCCTGAAAGCCCTCCACGAGCAGAATGATGAACAGATGTCGGAGGACAAGAAAGAGGCAAATTCGGAGGCCAACTCGGAGACGAACAGCGCTAATGCTGAGAACGAGCACCAGGATGAGTGAGCCAAGTGAACTCCGATCTTCGTGAACTAACTGATGTGCGAGTCCCTTCGTTTTATTGCAATGTAAGTCTGAGTGCACACAGTGTGATATCCGAACGGTGCTTGCCGACATCAACCATTCGCTATACACGTGTATCTATGTATATATATGTATAGAGAGACATGTCAGCAAACATGATGCCTGATGTCGACGGCTCACCCGACATTTGGACAGCTTGCATAGAGCGACAAGTCGCCAAAACACATGGTGGCAATCGAGTGTCACGATGAAGACAGTCATCGCGAGTACATTCTTATACAGTCGCTCCAGTGATGATCGATCGGCAAAATGCCAGAACCACTATAGTGTATAGTACCGACCTTATATATGTTAAGCTGATTAAATATGAGCGTATACACGTAGAGAACCGATGCCTTATGAACATGATGAGTCCATCCTGTACCGATCGCTCGTCTGACGCTTTTGCTTGATGCGCTAGTATGGTGCGGACAGATTCCCCATGCAACTGCGTCATAGCTTGGTGAACTCCGGCATGTGGTCAGTGCGGATCTGGCAAACACAGCTGCTCTTTGAATAAATGCACGAACTTGAGATCACCGCGCAAGCCGTTCGCCTGACCCTTTTGTTTGATGCGCTCGTATGGTGCGGACGGAGTCTCCGTATAACTGTGTCATAGTTATCTCAACTCTGGCAGAAGTCGTTGCGCATCTGGCAAAATTCAAATAGGATGCCACGTTAATGATGCTTTCATGCTATCCTTGCATCATGAAGGCTAACATCTGACGCAGCCGTCCCCAGAATCATAACAGCCGCCCACGTCAGTTC